TTTTATATAGTAATACAGTATTATGGAGAATACTATACTATCTTTTTTGTTGGTATATTATAAAGATCACTCAACACTGAAATGATATCAGTATTTACATCTGTTTTATTTTTATAGTCAAATATTGCTTTTAAAAATGCAGTATTCACTTTTCAAATGATACAATGTTTTCTTTTGTTGAATGATAATACATTAAATTAAAATATCACTGACTTATTTGCATTTAGTATCATTTTCAATGAAACAATAGTGAAATTTTAAGATAAAACTAACAAAGTAATGACTCAAAATATTTGGCACAGAAACTTAAGAAATTTCATAAATTTTGACACGGGCATCTTTAATAGAATGTACAATACCCAATTTGTAATAGATTTCTTGTGAAGTATTTTGTAATATATATTTATATTTTATAATATATATATATTTCAATGTAAAGCAATTTGCAATGTACCATATTTACTCGCATGTAGGATGAAGTGTGACTTTAAAGATCAAAATAAAGATAATTAGATTTATTAACACAATTCTAATTTTATTTTGTTTAATAACGAGCAAAATATCAAATGAAGGTAAACGCACACATTGTCTCGCAAAAATTACTGGCATTTTAAACTTAAAAATATTGTAAAATTGACATAATTTGTTCATGTAAAGCTGGACAATCAGGAACCTTTTTTTGCCAATTCTTAACAGTCGAATCCAATCTCCATCAATTACACTTACGAGTTTCTCCGAATTCTGATTTCTGAATAATTATCTGTTTTCACGTGGGAATGGATTAAAACTTACATGGTGCTCCCCATGTGATTTAGGAATTTCAACCTGGAATTCAATTCAAAAGCTTTGCTTTTCCTATTGCTATTCATCTTTACTCCTGACAATATACAAGAACGATTCAAATGACCTGGATAAAATACTTATGTTTTTAAATACAAAATGGTAAGCATCTAGTAAAAAATGCGAATACACAAATGCAGAGAATCTTTTGCTCGCGTGTATAGGACGACCTAGGAATTTGAAGCTGTGATAAATGAATAAAAACCTCGTCTTATATGCGAGTAAATACAGTATATATAATTTTCTTTGCATATAAGCTGTCTTTTATATAAATTTCCAAAAAATAAAAAAACTAGAAACAGGAGATTGGGGAGCAAGATGACCATGGAATAGGGTCACTATAACCTCACTGACTAGGAAATTTGTTGGCTAAGAAATCTGCATGCCACAATATTACTAATTTGTTAAATTTCTTTCAATTGAGGAATATCAAATAATTCAAGCATATCCAAGTTATTTTAAGGAAGTTTTTGGACCTTTTATTTTTCTTGAAAGAAAAATGGTCTAAAAATTTTGTTATAAAGTGATCCCTGGTGTGTACTATCTTATTCATGCTCACAAAATGCACTCAATTTTCAGATCCCAGATGCTGAAATTGTATCAGTTAACTTTTCCTAATACAAGGAATATAGCTTCATCACTGAATACAAATATTGTTCAAGAACTAATTGATTTCTTGAATACAGTCAAGAATGTTAACTGCAAATGTTGATGTTTGTCAATGCACTTAATTTCATGCACAATTTGTAATTTGTAAGCACCAAGTTTCATCTCATATAAACCACCTTACACACCAGTGAGAGGTATTTGAAGATAGTTTTCCTAGAACAGTTTAAATCAGTGTTTTTCAACTTTTATCCATAATTTTACTGGTTCACAATGAGAAAATTTTACATGGACCTATTAATTATGCTTATTTATTAAGCTTATATATGCTTATCTACAGTTACTGTACATAAAGTAGAACAGTACCTCAAGATTACTATTCAAATGTCACTCATGATCAACTGCACAAACTTCAGTATGGTAAAATAATTTTCTGCAGTCTAGTGAAATTTTTCTGTGGAGCAGCAGTTGAAAAAAAAACTGATTTAAATCACTTTTAAGTACAACATTATATATTAAAAGAAACTTTCAACAAGAAAATTGCAATTCATGTTGCCTTATACCTATATATTAATAAGTAAGGTGTACTTCTTGCTAATTTAAAGGATTTAAAATAAATTTAAAATTAATTTTCAATAAATTGCTTCTCTTGATTATTTTTTAAAATTTATATCAAAATGTACAATAATTCTAAACTCATTAAGCTTTGAATAACTAATTTAAAATCATAATTAAGTTACTGTCAAAAATTTCCATCCGTTTCATATAAAATGCTTGATAAAAATGACCATTCAATAGTTCAAAGTGAAGTTCTTTCCTACTGTAAAATGTTTATATATATATATATAGTCCTGCTAGTCCGAACACCGCTAATCCAAACATGTTTCAGTCAGTAGAGAGAAAATTTTTTAGTTTGCAAAATATACATTTTTTGTATTTTCCAGTTAAATTTAAATGGTATTAACAATACAAAAAAATTTTGAATTCCACAACAACAACAAAAAAATTGTATTTTTTTGTAGTACTGTATTAATAAATCAGTCTTTGACATGGCCTATTAAAACAGCAGATCTATACAACAGATCTACACACAAAAACAGAAACAAAAGTCATTGATGGTGTTGTTGGATCTATATAAAGTGGACCTGTTTTACTGCTTACTTCTGCATTATTTCAATTATTCGGCGCTAATCCAAAAATCTGCTAATCTGAAGAGGACTCATCCAAATTAGTTCGGACTAGCGGGACTCTACTGTATACACACACACACACACACACACACATATTTGATATATATACATCAAATAACATATTGTAACATAACAAAAGTAAAAATAAAAATGTCTAGAAATATTAAAAATAAGTATTAACAAACAATTATTTATTGTGACATCACAATACTGGGCTGAAATTTTTAATCATATTTTTAATTTATATAATTTAAATATGCTCTCCACCTCAAATTTGTAATGGCTTGCCCCTGTACATCACACTTTTCCTTTAACAATACAGTTGTATTGCTCATCTATATAACACCTTTCAGGGAAAAATTTTTTGAATTAAAATAACATGACTTCTGGTTTTCATCGGAAGTTTGTATATAGTTAATTGAGGCCCTTGCCCCTAAGTTTTGATATCTGGTCTCGTCTTTCATCTATTTAACTCTGTTCTCAAAATTAAGGAAAGATGAACAAATGGACAACAGTGGAAATTTATAGGTTGACAATTTTTCAATTGCAGCCCAATAATATAAATCTATCAGAAATGACTAAACATTCCCTAATTAATGTTATATTGCATTTTCAGCTTTTTTTAAAAAACATCTAATAGAAAAATGGAAAAGTGATTAAAAAATAATATACAAGTATCCCTTTATTAACATAATTAATTAATTTCTCAATGCTACCATATATATCAAAATCATATTAATCAAATGCAGTATCTATGTTAAGCATAGACAACTGGTAAAGCCATATTAATTAAAACTTCTGTTGCATATATAAAAGGATTGCCACAATTAATTTTGTGTGTTAATCAAATCCAATTTTAAGCAAAACTGCATTAAGCAAGAGATACCTGTAACTATATACCGGTAAAACTGAAAATCATTAACATTGTTTGCCCTATAAATGAAATCAAACCATACAACTTATTCAATTGAAAGTACTGTAAAATTCAAACATATTGATATTAGACAAACTGGATTATTATTATTATTTGAATCATAACAGATGAATTTCTATTTTATACTATTTAAATGAAAACCACTATTTATTCAAAAATCGTATAGGATCTCATTTTTAAAAACAAGATATGCAAATATCTCTAATATCAAAATAACAAATCTTACATATAAAAATAAATACTAAATAATATACAAGAATTTTAAAAAAAACTAATTGTGAAAAAAAAATTAACAACAGACAGATGTTAGCTGCTCACATTCTAATTCCTGTTATCTTTGCATGTGTTTTAAATAGTCTAATATAAATTACTTTCTACTTAATTCATTAAAAATATGGCATTAGTGTCATCTATATACAATTCAATGATAAAAATTATAGTTTATACAATATTTTGAGTAAATGGTGTAGGTAAAACATTAATTATTTACACAGAAATTATTAATAATTAAAAAATTTTTAAAAAGCGATATGTCAAAATAAAACAATTATTCAAGATAGAAAAAATTTAAGCACCAAGATAGTATGAATTAAAATTAAACTTACTAATTACAAAAATCAAATATATTTAGAAGTAATGTAAACTAACAATCAGAGAAAAAATGTCAGAAACAAAAATATATTTATTTACAATCTAAAGCCTACACATTAATTTCCTTCTTATATTACACTGTTTATTGTTGCTATCTACGTATTTTAAGGGAAGATTAATTATTATATGCACATAAAATAATTATAGTATTGTAAAGATACATAAAATAATTATAGTATTGCAAGTGACAAGTTAAATATTTTATCAAGACACTATGCTAGAAATGATTCAAATAAACATTAATACATTCATATAAGAACTGCAATCCATTATGTACAAAATGCAAAAATAGAAATCTGGAATCATAAACTCACACATAAAAATGTGTATATGTTTTATTGTATTTGTATGTATAATGTAATTCAACCTGTAATTCTAAGGACCATAATTAAAGACACTTCTGAAGTTTAAAAGGACTGACATTTAAAGAAAAATGGAATTCATTTTGCAAAATATTTCATGTTACATTTCGATTTCATAATTATTTCGATGAAAATAATTCATATCCATTTATATTTATGTAATAGATTAATTTTTAAGATTTAATTTCATTCTGACTTGTTTATTTGCATCTATCTCATGTGCGTTCACTAGCACAAAATTATGGGGAAAAAATAATGTGCTAACGTACAAAATGTATTAATATAACTGTTTTTGTTTAAATGAAAAAAAATACTTCGTCAGCGATATTGAGGCCATCTACCGATTCGAACCCTCGATTCAATGTCCCGCCATCACAAACGACCGACCAATCACCTTTCGGCTTCTTTGTTACTTACGCATTCTTCCTCTTTTTCCATTCCGGTGGGCATTTGAGGAACCGCACGATTAATTGCGGCAAAATCTGGCAAGTCCGGAATCTCTTCCGACCAGTATACTGGTACTGGTTTGGTGGCGTCCAGCGCACGAGCTCGAAAAGACAGTTTACTCATCTTCTAATCAAACGATCACCAGAACAAACACGAGGCTTAGCGACGTCCCCTTTCAATCCGCAGTAACTTCCTTCGGATCCCGTCTGGACGGGTAATTCGAGGTTGTTGCGGTGACTTATACTGTCTAGTTTCTTGCCATTTTAACACTTAGACGTCTTACATGCTCGGTTTGATAACACAACACTTTTTTGTAACACAACCAGAACGAAATTTTCAGCGCCCATCATGGCGGACGTTTCTTCCATTCTCTCCCACAATTCCTAGCACTCGATCCGGTAAGGTGATTGCTGGCGCCATCTATTGAATATTTTAAAAAGTAATCATTAAGATATTAATTTATTTTTTAAATAAAATAAAAACAATAATGTTAAAAATATATATATGTGCTTTAATAAAACATTTGAACGATTAAAATCACAATATTTTATAAAATCAAATAAAGCATTTATTATTTTTTTATTAAATTATTTTTAATTTTTGACATTTAAAATTAAAAAAATGTAACTCATTATAAACGCCTTAAAAATAATTAATTGATATTTATTTAGAATAACCTATTTCAACTTTTGTAACTTATCAATTAGTTAACTTAAAAATTTCGTTTTATTTAAAAATGATTTAAATTCACAATTTTTGTTTTATAAGAAAGAAAACAATATTACAATATTTTAATAAAAAAGCAATATATAATAATAATAAATTTTATATTATAATTAGAAATTAGTAAAAACAAGCATAATTATTCACGATTTTAATATTTTAATTTATAAATCAACTTACACAATTTACGAAAGAAACGTGTAACATTCGTCAAGCTTGATCATTATGAAACCAATGGAAATAATTCACAGATCAATTTAAATTTTGATTTAAGTTCATTAACTTTTCTCACAAATCAGAATGATTCAGTTCATTTTACTTAATGATATTTAATGCGCAAAGAAAATAACATACTTTTAATTTGAATAAATTAATTTTTATATAAGTTGCAGCCATTTTTTTTCTGTTTAGCATTTGAATTGGATGTGCTGTTTTTCCAAAACAAACAACAGTTCTAACAAAATCGATAGAAAACGCAAATAGCACAAGAAAGATTTTTGGCCATCACGCATTGTTTGCATTCTATCTTTTAAATGATTTCGATTGAAACATCATTTTAAAACCGATCAACGGTAATTAAAGGATCTTATAAATCCTAGGCCACTTAATCGATTTCGTTGAGATAGCAACCTTTCAAAATTAAACATTTAGCGAACAATTATAGCTTATATATTTTACATAAATAATAAAATATATCGAAAAGCGCTTTCTATTTTATAATGGGTTTTAAAACATTTAAATATTTTATAAAACTCGAAAACAGTTAATAGTTAATTGGATCATATTTTCGAAAATATAATCGATATTGATATTCGATATATGCTTTGTTTGTCGATATTATTGGACTATGATCAATACTCTTTCCTTAAATTTGATTTAATCGAGTTATTTTAACATATAAAAATGATCATTCGAATTGTTTTGCAAGGAAATTACAAGTTTAAATTCCTTGAACGTTTTTTAACCTAATTAATTCGATAATTATAATTTTTAATAATAATAATTTGCCAAAACTGAATTTCTAATTACTTAATTATAAGAAAATACTGTTTACTAGTCTTTATGTAATCAAAGAATTATTCATCATTTTATTATTAAATTTTAATTTTAATTCTGAATATATCCTTTTAAACTCAATTTTATTATGTTTATTCAATAACTTTTTTATATATAATTTTGAAGAATTTAATCATTTATTTTTATTTTTCTGAAATCTTTAAATATATAAAATACATTTTGAAGTATTTGAAAATTTTATATAAATTTCATTCGATTATTAAAAAATTTTAGTGTTCAATCAAATAAAATTTTTCAATTTTAACTAATTCTTAAAATTTCAAGAAATAATTCTACGATTATATTTCTTTTCTTTTTAGTGTCATAATTAAGTGAAGAGTCAAATTCTAGATATAAAAGCGTATCGATTTACATAATTTCAAGTATATAGTCTGATCTATATCGTATGATCCCACTATAGAGTAATATAGGATAAAATAATATAAATATTATTTCGATTCGAATTTTAGAGTATAATTTATTAGAAAATACCTTTCTATTTGACTGCGATTTTCAGATTTTAAAATTTAGAAACAACTTTTTACGGTTTGAAAAAAAGAAAAGAAAAATAATAAAACTACATAGTTGAGTTTTTTACTTATTCCAGTATACAGTGAATTTTATTGTTCTTCATTTTTTGGAATGGAGCCATAAATAAAAATGCCATGTAATAAATTTGAATGGACGTATAAGGTNAAAATTAAAAAAATGTAACTCATTATAAACGCCTTAAAAATAATTAATTGATATTTATTTAGAATAACCTATTTCAACTTTTGTAACTTATCAATTAGTTAACTTAAAAATTTCGTTTTATTTAAAAATGATTTAAATTCACAATTTTTGTTTTATAAGAAAGAAAACAATATTACAATATTTTAATAAAAAAGCAATATATAATAATAATAAATTTTATATTATAATTAGAAATTAGTAAAAACAAGCATAATTATTCACGATTTTAATATTTTAATTTATAAATCAACTTACACAATTTACGAAAGAAACGTGTAACATTCGTCAAGCTTGATCATTATGAAACCAATGGAAATAATTCACAGATCAATTTAAATTTTGATTTAAGTTCATTAACTTTTCTCACAAATCAGAATGATTCAGTTCATTTTACTTAATGATATTTAATGCGCAAAGAAAATAACATACTTTTAATTTGAATAAATTAATTTTTATATAAGTTGCAGCCATTTTTTTTCTGTTTAGCATTTGAATTGGATGTGCTGTTTTTCCAAAACAAACAACAGTTCTAACAAAATCGATAGAAAACGCAAATAGCACAAGAAAGATTTTTGGCCATCACGCATTGTTTGCATTCTATCTTTTAAATGATTTCGATTGAAACATCATTTTAAAACCGATCAACGGTAATTAAAGGATCTTATAAATCCTAGGCCACTTAATCGATTTCGTTGAGATAGCAACCTTTCAAAATTAAACATTTAGCGAACAATTATAGCTTATATATTTTACATAAATAATAAAATATATCGAAAAGCGCTTTCTATTTTATAATGGGTTTTAAAACATTTAAATATTTTATAAAACTCGAAAACAGTTAATAGTTAATTGGATCATATTTTCGAAAATATAATCGATATTGATATTCGATATATGCTTTGTTTGTCGATATTATTGGACTATGATCAATACTCTTTCCTTAAATTTGATTTAATCGAGTTATTTTAACATATAAAAATGATCATTCGAATTGTTTTGCAAGGAAATTACAAGTTTAAATTCCTTGAACGTTTTTTAACCTAATTAATTCGATAATTATAATTTTTAATAATAATAATTTGCCAAAACTGAATTTCTAATTACTTAATTATAAGAAAATACTGTTTACTAGTCTTTATGTAATCAAAGAATTATTCATCATTTTATTATTAAATTTTAATTTTAATTCTGAATATATCCTTTTAAACTCAATTTTATTATGTTTATTCAATAACTTTTTTATATATAATTTTGAAGAATTTAATCATTTATTTTTATTTTTCTGAAATCTCTAAATATATAAAATACATTTTGAAGTATTTGAAAATTTTATATAAATTTCATTCGATTATTAAAAAATTTTAGTGTTCAATCAAATAAAATTTTTCAATTTTAACTAATTCTTAAAATTTCAAGAAATAATTCTACGATTATATTTCTTTTCTTTTTAGTGTCATAATTAAGTGAAGAGTCAAATTCTAGATATAAAAGCGTATCGATTTACATAATTTCAAGTATATAGTCTGATCTATATCGTATGATCCCACTATAGAGTAATATAGGATAAAATAATATAAATATTATTTCGATTCGAATTTTAGAGTATAATTTATTAGAAAATACCTTTCTATTTGACTGCGATTTTCAGATTTTAAAATTTAGAAACAACTTTTTACGGTTTGAAAAAAAGAAAAGAAAAATAATAAAACTACATAGTTGAGTTTTTTACTTATTCCAGTATACAGTGAATTTTATTGTTCTTCATTTTTTGGAATGGAGCCATAAATAAAAATGCCATGTAATAAATTTGAATGGACGTATAAGGTGAATAGTTGTGTTCTCTTAAAATATTGAAATCAAGAGAAACTATTCTCACGAGAAATAGTTTCTTCTGATTTCAATAAATATAATAATTTAGTTTCCATGTAGTGACGTATTAATCTGTTATATATATATATATATATATAAGTACAGTAGAGCATTGATTATCTGAATGAATTCAATTGGGGATGGGTTGTTCGGATAACTGATTATGTATGAAAAATATATTAACCTATCCCATGTTGAAATTCATTCAAATCCTGGCATGTCCTTAAGTACGCTTTCATGGTCGCACCAGTGCTGCCAGCTAAAACTTGCACACCAACAAAAATAATATTGGAGTAGCCCAAGACATAGCCAAAGATTGCAGTGCCACAGCACTAGCGGAAATTTAAATTTGCCGATTGGAAAGCTTTTGGTTAATTGACATTTCAATAGATTGATATTCGGATAATCGATGCTCTACTGTATAACACACATCACAAAGCCCTATATCTAAATTTAAATACATCTGGAAGCGAAAGATTGCTTGGGATCCAGGTGGTGCAACTGGCAAGTGCACCGCATGGCAAGCAGAGGCTGCGGGTTCAATCCCACCCCCAAGTCAATTTTTTTCTCCTGGATGGTTCTAAATTATTTAATTAGTTAAAAGATGGTGCCTAATGTCTACCTGTAGTAGCAAATTACTTTGTATTAATTATTTAAATTAGTGGAATTATAGCCCAATTATTTAGGCGATTGTTTGGTGATGTTTCTATTTCGTGTTTTATACAAATCTTTATGTATTTATAAATGTACTCAAATCCTTTCTTGCTTTATAAAGTCTTGTTTAAAATTTAATATAATAATTAATTATAACTTACTTCATTTGAGAAAAACTGTAATTCATGAAAAAATGTTCATCTAAAGCAGCTCCCAAATGATGTGGATTACACAGGAAATGTTTCTTAAATATTAAAAAAAGATTCATAATAAACTATGCAAAAACCTTTTGAATTAGCAGATCAAAATACTGTACCCAGATACAACTGAGACATACACCTGTGCTCCAGATATATACACAATGTTTTAATCA